ACTGTCTGCATACTTGTGTTATTATTTTCATGAAAGAGGTAACATAACCAAATGAAGTTGTAAAAACTAACTGATGATGGAAACATTGAATACCATTTTGATAATTAGTTAACATACTGTACTCTGTATTTGTGTGTCGGGAATACACTCGAGGTTTTATTTAAAGATAAACTAAATCATAAAATCGACACAATAACCCATCACTATCAAGAGTGAAGAGCTTCAGGTCTTGAATAAGAAAATCTACTCTGTTGTTTGACTTGTTGAAAGATCTATGCTTGAGCTGGTGCTGACTGATATAGGTTGTTTGGTAAAATTTCAGCTGCCACATTCTATATAAGTCCATCGAAACGTACATACATTTAGTTGAAGGTATATCATCCTATTCAAGTAAAGTAGTTCAAATGAAATATTTATGTAATGTTGATGAAAATGATTTGTGATTAATAAACAGTTTGCTTGTATTGAATTAAATTTCTACTCTAATTGAATGGTTTCGGGAGTGATACTGTTTAAATAATTATTTTCAAAATAATAGCTCTGACAATGAGTTATTTTTTATCTATTAAACAATTTCCAGTATACATTTAAAAGTTTAAGTTAAATTTAAGATGCAATTAGTAAAAATGATTTGTAAACATACAAGTTGATGATTTTCTAATTTGAATTACAAAATAGTTGATCTACCTCTACCGTATGTCACAAAATATTTTTAAGGTCATAGAATACATTAACGTACAATTTTGAACTTGTGTAGTAATAACCTCGAATTGTATATTTATCAAATTTACAAGATTATAAATTTTTATTACGGGATATTATTATATACGGGTTGCTTATTACTTATTCTTGAAACAAGGAACCACTGCAGTTTCTACGACATGAAGTAAGAACACGGAAGAGTTATACAAGTGAAGATTTATTCACTCCAAAACACAACGACTCTATTCGAAAACACACTTATTTGTATATTGATTGGTACACTCATTTGATTATTAATTAGGGAAAAGTCACATGAAAAATATCCAGAATTATAACAAATAACATGCTGCATATCGTGCTGAGCACAGTTCACGTCAAATTAATGTAGGAATATTGTATCTTGAATAGATACCACACTAAAATAAAGTAATCTTATACTGAGTAAAATATAACACTGGAAAATATAATAAATATTACACTAAATAATCTTCAAGTGGAAATATACTCCACGTTGTCACACCAACTACATGTATCTTAGGTCGGAATAACGGTCGAGCTTACGTTCATGTAATCAATAAAATCGTTATGTTATGATGAAATTTTTATTTAAAAGAAACTAGATTATTCTATGAATTTGACTGTGACTATAATTCCTATTCACCATGTCAAACTACGTCACAACGGACATGTGCACTAAATCCTGGGATGAAGTAGACCGTTAGTAAATAATAGAGGAAGGTTTGAGGCTAAGTTCAGTTTTGGTAGTTGTGCTGTAAACCATGTTTTGACGCCCGAATGACTGTAGTTTTCAGTCTGGAAACAATATCGTTTGTTCTATGTTAGATAAGTCTTACTGGCCTATGGTTTGTCAGACCGCGTTAATTCATACTGAATTAAAAACGGAAGTAATGCTGAACAAAAACTACAATCAGTAAACAAAGTAATTTTGTCTTTTCACCACGTTGTATCAGCTATAATTTTCATAATATTCAAAGAGAAGAATGGTATGGCAATGATTAAATCGTGTAAATTATTCAATGTTGAGTGAAGAGGAAAATTCTATTTACGCGTGGACTAGTACAAAATTATAGCAAATATCTTACATGGAACATCCATCCACATTTCCAAGCAGTAATAATTCAAAAACTTAAAAGATTCGGATGTGTTATCAAGTTCCTACACTTACTACCTCTTCGAAAATGCATTCAGAACTATTAGCCTAAGATCAGAAAATTTAATCATCACATAGACATTAAGAGCTTTGACATTAATAAACTCAGATCTTGGCTCATCTTTCATTGTCATAAATATTCACCAATTTAAGAGACATTTTGACTTCAGTGTCTGTGACCAGTTATCAACTAACTGTATATTCTATGTGCACAAGATTAACAGGAAAATCATTCACTTTCATTAACATCATGTATTCATAGTACAGGAGCTATAGAAATGTGTTAAAAACAGATTTCTCCGAATTTCATAATCCTCCAAATTAACTAGTTCATTTAAATAATTTTTTTAAGTACAAGAAAATCAACTACTTAACAAATTCCCGTCTGTCAAATCAATGTATACTTAAGTAGAATTCTTTTATGAGGAAAAAGTTAGTTCACATGAAACTGTACTTCATATCTGGCATTTTCTTCTATCGGGTTTGTTTAAAGTAGAGTATTCTACTTAAACTATTATCGATCATTTTATTTGGTCTATAAAACTGTCAAATGTTAACAAAGTTTTGCTTACAATAGAAAATGAAAGAACTTACGAAAAGGTCAAGTAAATCAATAAAATGTAAGTAGTATCAGTGGTATATAAAAATTAGATTATTTATGTGGGTACCGTTTGTTACTATTTGACCTTGAAAAATTAACTAAAATGATGGCACGGACAATTTCATCATATACGTTGATTGGCTCCTCAGCTGTTTTTTTTATGGATCGCAATTTAGTTATCACATGAAATTTATTGCTGTAGTAACAATAAAAATAAGTTATATTACTGAATGACAACTGACTTTAATATGCTTAATTCTAAATTTAATTGAGCGACTTTTTAATATATCTACTAAATTACTTGACTGGACATCATAATGAGCTTTGATTGCAGTTGTGTGGTTGAGAAAACATAACTTGAAGTGATGAACCATGCTTTCTTGATTTTAATCGGAACATGGTTGAGATTCAGATTATGCTGCTACATAGATTTAGTTCCTAGTCAAAACAGGATTCCAAGACGGTCGTAAAAGCTCTGTAGGTGTGACAGAGTAATGGAGGTCCTCATTTATTAAGGACCTACGTCTTATCGACGGTGCTATCAGGCTTCGTTGATAACTACTAACAATTAAAAGGCGTTAAGAATTGACTTTACATTGACTACCACGGATTGTTTAGTACCAAGTAAAAATAACAGTATGGAATTATCCCGTCTGGCATCTTACAAATCAAAATTGGTTGATGCTTGTCAATCAGCGATAGGGAGTGAACACTTCTTATTGCCCTGCAAGCTATTCACATATCAAAATATTCATAAGGAAAGCTTCAGTTCGACTCATCTTCATAAATGCCCAAGGTTTATTTTCGTGCAGTTCTACTCAACACATATAAAGCCTCGTATGTTCAGCCCGTTTCATTAGTCAAAATTCTGAACTACATCTGTATCATGTAGCAACTGCGTTCGAGTTTTGGTGCATTAGAATTTACTACCAGGAAGCTAAGGGTTTTTAACATTTATGTATACTCGTATCAATTTTCAGTATATTGCTCTCGGATACGGAATAATCAAAGTTTTAGCTGGTCAGATTTTATCGGACTTATTTGAAAGTTAATCATGGATATAAAGTGGCAGTATCTTTCATTTCCTATCAGTTTGGGTATTACAATACACCTTAGGAATTGAATTCATATATAGCGATGCTAGAAAGGTGATGGCATGCTTTGTGCAACTCTGACAACATATGAAATTATGCAGATTAATCATAAGATAGCCTCCACAATACATGTGAAACTTCAAGAAAAATGACTTTATTATAGTATGCATAGTTCTTATTATGGATTGACATCAATAGGAGGAACACTGAAAACCAGAGTATTGGAAGAATTTAAATTTAACAAACTTCCACGAAAATACAAATCACTGTTTTGCTATTTGCCGATGCAAAGTTAACCGCAAGAAATAAAAGATTTGACTTATTGGTAGGGCTGTGCACGGCCTAAGTTTCAAATCAAAAGATTGTTATATGGTTCCAAAGTTTCCTGTAAACCAAACACATTATCGACAGAAGTTTCCGAAAATATATCTGACTAGATTACCTGGCATCTAAAAAATTGTTTTTCATTACACGGTTTTTTTTGTAGTTTTACATCATAGACTAACTTATAACATGACCACTGAAAGTCAGGTGGCGGACAGCTGTTTCGTAAGACTATGGGACTTGGGAGAGTTTGGCACTAGTGACTTCATCTGAAACCGAACTCAGAAATCACTTCGACATGAATAATTATCTGAATTTCTCGAAGAGACCCGTTTTTGAGATTGTCATTAAAGACTTGGATAGTTTTTGAACTAGTTGGCTCAGCAGTAAGACGAAAGTGAACACGAGATATTATAAATTAGAGCAGCCATTGCTTTTTTACCTGTGAATGCTAGATGATCTTTTGTAATGATATCAGACACTGGACGAATATTAAATAAACACAATCCAAAGCTAGACAGATCAGTTCTATTGTCAAGGTTATTCCACTCTTTAGACTACATAATCTCCCATCCTTTTCCACTCATTCATATACATTATGGGTTTAGATGTGATTAACAAACCTAAGGATAACTGTAAGATGCATCTTAGCTCTAGACGTCTTTTTAAAACATTAGTCATACTTCTTAAAACCCGACTTATGCCCATTCAAATTTACAAGTACTGGGATATTGAATCACTCAATGTATTCTTACATGTTAGATCAAGGCTAAGCAATGAACATAACACTGGTTACTAAGAAGTGAAATGTTACGGTCCTACAAGGGCCTAGCCACGCCTTTAAGTTTTGTAAGGAGACATTATTGTATTTAGTCCAAAATTACTTTAATCTAGATAAAACTTGACAAAAGCTGACGCCATCGCCCTCTACGCTTATGCATCTTAAATGAGTTAACTGCATGTAATAAGGTAACACAAATGTTTGGTAATCTTAGAATGAAGATTCTCTGCATCGATGAAGCTGAAATTCGGAGATACTACCAGGACACAATACATTTTAATTTACTTCAGACTGTGTAGCTTAACACGAAGGAAAACTCGTGTGATTTTAGGAAAACCATACATCTGAGAACGTTAGCCATTGACGTATTAAGTTAGATGAGAAAGAGCGTAGCACAACAGAGGATACGGATAACACAAGACACGGAGGTCGTTACATTTAGTTTCGTTTGGTAGAACACAATGAATTAATTTGTGCACTTCGGAACAGAAACAAATCGATCACTTTACAAGTATAATTAAACCAGTGTTGAAATCTAACAGAGGTGCAAGCACCGGTCTAAGCATAATTAAACCTAGAGATAGACAATCATGTCTATGCTACGATCCAAACTTGAACATGATGCCGTATTTTTGACCTCCATTCTCCAAATTCTTCCCATCAAATTGAGTGCACAATGCCAAACACGCATCTGGAAGTAAAAAAGAATCCAGTTTAAATCGTTACTAAATGACTGAATACCTAGTTCTATGAAAAACTAGATAGCAAGAGTGAAATTAAATATCAAATGTCAACAACGTCAAATGAAAGGGATTAAGGTGAACTTTGTAGGATACGGTGTTTAGCTTACAGAGAAGCAGCATATTAAAATAAAAAGGATACAAGTTATAGTGGAATTTAGATACATAACTAAATTAAAAATCAGTTGATAAACGCACTGATTACAGTAAATTGGTTACAATCGATGATAGGTAAATCTTATGTGATGCACATCTTGAATAAACAAGGAACAGCTTAGCGAGATGGTAAAACAGTAAGGCGCAAATACAAGGATTAGTGGTAAACAAAGTAAATTAGTGTCATTGTGAAGAGCATGTTACATTTAGTACACCATTCCATAGGATTAGAAATGTGACTCAATAAAAAAATTGTCTAGAGCCGTAGCATGGTGGTTCAGGGGACTAACTTCTAGGTTCGAAACCTTACCCATCTACTTTAGTTTAAAAAACCACGTAGTATGAGTCCTCACACTTAGTGTGACTCATGTCTAACTACCTAGTGAATGAGTTGATCTATCATGCCCATTAGCACCCGAACCAATTTAGCTGTGACAATGGTCGAACTGGTAGATTTGTGTTGATTTACTGAACCAAGAATCTAAAGCAGTTACATGAAATGGGTTATTGGCACAGATACGTAAAAAAAATTCACGGAACGCTGGAGATAGGATGATGAGGGTCTCTAAGCTTTGAAAAGTAAAGGTTACTCGACTGGATCGATGAAGTTGATTTTGCGAGAATAAAATCAAATATCCCAATTTTCGTTGATCAGTGGATTAAAGGACCTTATAATAGTGCTGTCTCGCAATCTAACACCTTTCTGAATTCTTAGTTTAATTTAACTATCAGAGATTACCAATAAGCCTGGACAGATATAGTATCTCGCGGTGCATATTTTGACTGCTTGAAGTTGGGTTATGATTCCAAAAAATGACTGAAGCTACCTAAACTCATGACTAATTATTCAACGGGTTTACACTACATGACTAATGCGGCAGTTAAATAACTTTAATTCTCACTAACAAATGACTATTCATCATTGAATAGAGTACACCTAATGCCATTTTATTTCTTTTCTAATAATACCAGGTTCGTTTTGTCGTAAGATAACAATATAGCCCTGCTTGTTGGCATGTTTAATCTTTGTCAGTGAACTTGGGGGAGGTGATGGTGTTTGTTAGTGTAAGACTTGGCAATATCATATTACTTCATATCATTTATCATAAGCATAATCTATAGTGCACACTGGTAGGACGGCTGCGCCATCTAAATAATACTTATCCAAAGCGATACTTGTATCTGCATAGGAAAAAGACATACTATATTATCTAGCTACGACAAACAACTTAAATTCCGGTGAAGTTGAAGTTTTAACAATCATTTTTCACACATAATGTAAGTGGAAGAGAGATGCATGCAGTTAAAAACTAAGTGTAATTTATGTTAACATACACAGTTCGGTGTTGATAAGTATGCTATTACATTATTCATTATTACTTTTTATGCTGGGATCTTGTAATCAACAACTAAAGGTGAAAGGGGTTTGATAGTAAACACTAGATTTGTTTAATTACATTGCTTCTTAATATCAGAATATTCTACCTGAAAGTACTACCGAAATCTATAACCATACTGAGTTACTGATTTTATTGACTAATATGAGGGAAATGCATAAGCCGAAATCTCCATGCATATCGAGGATGCTCTTACTCTGTGAAGCTTTCCTAACGAACTATACAAAATACTCCTTTAGTATGTGTGTACTAGCCAATGCGACATGACACGCGTGGATAGTAATCTACCTCAAAAGAAATAATTATAGACGTTGAATACCAAGGTTTGTAACAAACGTTTCCATATAACTTATACCTGAGTTTAATTTAAGCTTGTAAGCCAGTCCAACTACGCAATTTTGGTCTATTTTGACTTTGACTTTCCCAGTAGGAGAGGTTTTGTAACGAAGAGCTGCACCAAATGACGTCTCACGAGTGTCTGGTCGCCAACCAACACGGAAACCTAGTTTCATGTCTTTGAATTTTTGAAAGACGCTCAAGTCAACATCTGAATGACCAGTGAGTGTAGCATGCACTTGCACATCAGACTGCTTAAAGTTGATTGCATAAATGTGTTTGCTAATTTCTGACTTCTCACTGTCAACCACAGCTTGTGCACCAATACGAAATGCAGGATAATGGGGGATACTAAAGAGAATAATGTAAGAATGAAAACATACGGCAATACGAGTGAGCCGGTGATCAGAGGATATTTTGACTTGAAGTTCATATCCAGATTAGCATTGAAATATTCATGTTTGAATTTATTTTTTAGCAACAATGACTTAGCTCTGAACGATTAGGTTTGAGGATTTGTCAACCTACCCTGAATCAGGCTCCATTGTAGTTATCACATTGTGCGATAAATCTTTATGGAATTTCTTGTCGACTTCTAGTTCACTTGTCATTAGCCATTTAGAATCGACTCTTGTCTTCAAATGAACTCCTGGGGCAGCTTTTAACTTCGACTCTAAGAACCCGGAAACTCTTCCAGCATTTGTATCGTGTTTTCCACCACATGTCACGGAGATATCATTTTCAGTTTTGGTTTTGAATTCAAAGTTAAGGTACCCGAAGCTGAAGTTCTTGTCAAAAATATCACGGGCCGACTTTCCTAAATCGCCAAAACTTGCCACCATTTTTTAAATGGACCCGTTAGCCCGCTAGTATCACGACTATTCAATGTCTTATAGATTAATCTACACAAAATAATTCAAATCAAATTCATGTTTAAGTGACAGTATAACTATTAACGATATACGCTTATTGATAAAATTTATCTTCATTACTTTTATGACCAGTGAATGTCGCCTTACTATAGCATAAACTTCTGTTGGGTTACTCCAGTCAACAAAAATAAACTCATCAGGTATCAACGTGTAGATTCAGACAAATAACGCATTGAGAGCTATATAGACGAATGGTTAGCCACAAGGTACCACAAAACAAAAATACCTAAAAATCAAATGGATGGAACTACTTTTCCGTATCGTCTAACGAAATGGATGTGGAGCGATGGGCTTTTGTGTAGCTTCATGTCGAAGGAGGTACATACTAGTTTGAATATCATAAACCGGGACACCTAACAAAACACAACTTCCGCTGTAGGGCAGCTAAATTGCTATTTTATATATCCAAACCCATTTACTTTTCGATATATACTCCCACCGACTGACTCATGCTTAATCGCTTCGAATTATGACATTGACATCATGAAGTTATCCCCCCTCTCAAAATCGAAGAGATTTTGATGAACTTGAACACTCATAACCCTCCATGTTATTAGAAATTAATGCTATAATTCTAAGGATATGTGCAGATATACATCTATTGCATCTTGTTATTCACTTCAATAAGATTTCGCCCTTCTTAGCTGAAGAAAGTTATGATAGTACAAGAATATAAAAAGGTAGCGATTCGGAGGCTTTCAATCATAGAACAACTTCTTTGTTCTTAACAGTTGTGAAGTTCAAAGAAAGAGCTGTAAATAAGTCCCTCCGCAACTATCCGCTAAATAACTCCATGGTTCCTGGTACACGGAATAGTTTTCTTCCTACTGTAACGCAGAATATGAACCTGGAGGCAAAATTTGTAGATGATCTGCGGTCCACTCGAGTTTGGAACGATAAGGCGTAGAGGCAAATACCTGACGTGGATTGCCTTCTTAAGGTATTCTCAGACTTTGGCTAGTTTGGTGATCATATGAAACAAACATGATGTTAGTGAAAAAACGCTTCAGTAGACACAGGTTGGAAGGAACAGAGTGCGACCGCTGGCAAATGGACCAGTACACGCATGGGTTTAAATGATGCGCATTAGCCATTCTTGACATTGACAATGCTAGAAAACTTGTAACGATCAGTGATCTATTGTCCGACGTGGAATTGATTCAGCCTAATGGATGATTTTTCCAGGGCTCAGTAAATTTTCACTGGCCATACCAACCTATGGGCCACCTGAAATAGTCAGACCCTATTACTGGAGCACGACATCTCTGTTCGCATTTTTTCAAGGTATCTGATAAATTAATTGATTTTATTCTTTACCGAAACTGAAACCGGCATCATTGCCATTCACTACCATCGGAATCATATTGAGGGATTAAAGATAGACCACTTCTTCAGTAGGAAACTCCTTCCTATCAGTAGAATTCCACTGATGAATAGGAGTGGCTCACCAACTTCTTTGTACTTCCTAGGTGATGTAAGGGTCACATTCAGCTTCAAAGAAATCAACCTAGATAACCCTCCAATATAAAGTTCTACATGCCTCTCGTAATTAATATTTTTCACCCTGTCACAAGACCTCTTTCGGAAGCATTAGGTAGATTGACTACAAACTTGATTAAAACTACTTTCAGTGTTTGCTAAGTACCTCATCTGATAGAAACTTTTAGGACACTGTCTTCCTGATGTGTTTTCAAAACAGCAAAACGAAGAAGGAGCCAGGACTAAAAATAAATCTCACTAGGCTCCCCTGGAAGCCCTCAAGTTTGTTACCTGTTCAGAACAGAAGGATAAGGGAGTTTAGGTTGATATCAATGTGTCTTATTGTTGATAGCCGTATTCATCCTTACCGACCTATATTTTATAGTATCAAACCACACTAGAGAGCACATTTATTAGACATTAGTCAGAGACAAACTAATAGAATCGATAATTTGTGGAACTCTTTACCAGTAGCTGTGATAAAGGAATTTTCTACAGAGGCCTTCGAAAAAGGGCTAAAAGTCACGTATTTTTACAATTAAAGCGCACTCCTGCCGAATGGATACATGTAACAAAAGACCAATAGTCTACCGATTCCATCAAGCTAGGTTCAAAGTTTAGTTATGTTGAGGTCGAATAATCGTTTGCTTTGATCCTCTATGACAGTCCCGGTTACTGTTTTGTGAGAACCTCCGAAAAACAAACTCCGAATTAGGGAAGGAATAATATACTTAATATAAGGGTGAAAGCGCTACAGAGTTACTTCTACTGCATGGCTAAGACATATATTCCCGGTAATATATTTTCACTGAACTTATTGGATCTTTGAGTTCCTCATCAACCATTTGACGCCCAGTGAAAACAATCCGATTAAGTTTATTTGCAGCTTTAAAGATTGCATAGTTAGGGTGTAGTGTTATTCTACAGTCACTAGACCACTCATCTTTCAGAATAAACGCCGAAAGGATTCGATTCCATTTCAAGTGGGGTGATCGCTCACCGGTCAACAGTAGATTATTTAGAATCTTCTGTGTACTGGTTAGTTGCAAGATAAATCCAAAAGGGAATACAAACATATGCTCACCATCAGTTGCTGAGACAATATAATCAAGTGAATTGGATGCGGTACATACATTTAATGAGAAACAACGATTTACAATTAATTTGGAATAAATGCTGTACAGCGAATTATAGAACACAATCATCAATAATTGGGCCGGACAAAAGTCAGTTGAGTAATTAAGCAAAAAGTAATTACCACATTCCTGTACTTTTTGCTTCTTATGTAGTACTTCTCGATCATGCTGGAGACATGGGTTTTCAAGGAACAAGGTCTCATGAGACCAAACAATTTTTAAAAGTATGGACATTCCAACTACACTGCTTGGAGTCATGTAGAATTCAGCATTCATGGATTCGCTAGTCTTTGCATGACCGTCTACCTGTCCATACACCGGCTTAACTGATTAGCTTCCAGACAATGTACAGTGACGATGGTATAAAGGTTTGATAATTATATGACTGGTCTGTTAGTTAACTAAGACACTAAATAAGTTCCATCGGGCTTTTAAGACGTAAAAAGGTATTCAGTAACTACAAAACGCTATTCAACAGCAAAAACAACACCAAAATTTCAACAAGAATTCGCGAATCATTTTCAGAATATGGTTGTCAATAGAATAAATCTTAAAATGTCTTCATTATATTCCGAAGTAATTAATAAAACAAATATTTCCAATCGCATTACTCCAGCACTATTTTCTTATTCAATCATGATGTAAATTTGGAGTTTGAAATATCGGGTTTGATAAAACTAAACAATATATATAATATCACTGAAGTAACTATGTTAAGAGCCTTGTAAACCAATCACAAGACCTCCAGGCATAGGTTCTTCATTATTGCCCATGAGGAATTAGAGGCTCTTTAACATAGTAGAATCTGACCATATCATAGCACTTGGTCAACGCCATTACAAAATTTCCCAAAATTTCATTCCACCAACGTCCAACATTGAGATAAGTGCAGAGCACTCAACAGCCAAACAACCACAAATCGTTACGTATTATCCTGTCTGCGTGATTTTGCTATCAAATTACAGGTGAACGAATTTTCAAAAATAGGTTTAACAAATCATCACACATTAATATGTCATAGTAAGGTTCGATGAACTGTGAGGATTAATATTTTTAGCTGCATAAATTTGTACATGTGCCTTTTCAGCCTTATGAATGTGCCGTAGACATCTAAACGTTTCGATGACCGAATCTTTCTTGGCTTATAGTTTGTAAACACTTACTTCCCCATAAGAGCGGAAACTGAATGCCTGAAATACTTGAATGTTTATTTTAAAAAAGTTAATGGTGATGGTACAAGTGTAGCATGGCGTCGAGTCGCGGTTGACTATGAACACCACTACAAGAAGAGCGCGTACCAGACAAATCAGAAAGCGAAGAGCGATCGTAACCAGATTTATTCGTTGGCGATCCCGTGGTAACGAACGAATGCCGATATCGCGCCATAAGGAACACAAGCGGAATTAGTGGGCAGAAGAACGAGTGTACCAGGTCACAGTCCACGGAAGAGTAATGGAGGAGCGTAACGGCTGTCTTTAGTACAGATAAACAAACGAGCGCAGTAAAAAATCACTGTTAAAATTGGTTATAATAATGATTGTTTCCATTATGCCAATCGCGTTCTGTTGACAAAAATAGGTGACTACAGGAGCCCCCCGCTAGAAAGGGTTTACAATTTCGATAGGTAGTGGTTTGCCTCGTGGGACTAATTGGCACATGTGCGGTTGTAGGACGGAAGAATAGGAGAAACAGGAATCGATCGTTGATCCTCGAGTTGCCAACAAAGGTCTTTTACGTAGAACGGTACCAGGAGAAGAGTGCTGTATTTGTTGCTCGAGTTAGCATACCACACCAGAGTGGTTTGTATCCAGGATCTGAAAATTGCGTTCGTGGGGATGCGGACAAGGAAACGCTGCAGACGTAGGACGAAACCACGTTGAGCCAAGAAACCGGAAGCGACCATAACGACCGTGTGCGAAACCAAGCTTGTGGCAGGCGGATTCAAAACCAGACTATCGACTGAGTGTGTTGACAAGAGCGTGGGTGGCCAGACCAGCTTTCGCCGAAGCTGACTGAAGTCGACGGTACCAAACGGGCGATGGTCGGAGGCGTGGGTTCAGGGTACGAAAAAAAATCACAAAAAAAGAAAAAAAGTGTGGCGTGCATGTTGTATAGGAATAATCCTACACCGTATCCGTTGTTGACTTTGCGGTTAGTCGCGAAAGCGTACGGGTAATCGTACTCGGCGACCGGTACGTGAGACGGTGGTCTCGTTCGTACTTCGTGAGCCTGCAATTTCATCCGAGGTCAAGGGCGGCGTGGTCTGCTGATCTGGAGGTGAGACGGAAGTCTCGTTCGTAGATGGTGCAGATGACACGTGCTGTTGATCGGGACGTGAGAATGAGGTCTCTGATGT